AAGATAACTATTTTAGAGACGCACAGTGCGGATTATTTTCTTAAAGGGTCAGCTCACCCAATTCAAAATGTGAATGTATTTCCCATTGGTTAAAAAAGGAACTAAGCACATTTACTCATGTACTGTACTGACGTGTAATTTTTACCCACTTAAGCATTTCTATTCTCTCCTACTTTTACTTTACTACATTTCAGGGGGAAGTTTGACCACATTACATTTACTTGACAGCTGTAGTTACTTGTTACTTTTCAGATTAAAATTTTAGAAAGAAAGATATTTATATAACATCTCATATATCAACATATATAACATTTGAAGCATTTTAAAACTCCACAATGAGGTAGTAAAAATATAATGATGAAGAAATGTTATTAATACAATAGCATTGTGTTCTTAAAGGGTCCATTCTTCAAAATGCCAGTACTTTGCTTTTAATTTCAGTGTAATTTGCTGATAGTTCTTCAATAGTAAAATTTTGATTTAAGGACTTTTAATATTAATAGAGAAACTTTGCATTATAATATTTATACTTTAAATTCAGTAAATGATATGTAAACCGATGCCATGCAGCTAGTTTTGGTTTTATCTTTTTAGATTTTAAATGTTCATCACTGGGATTTCTGTTGCCACCTCCAAAATAGATCAATGGACTTTGCTTATGTTGCTAAAAAATATTGAAAAATTACATTTAAAATTTCCATCATAAATTTGTCTGTCAAAAAACAATGCATCAGACCCTGATATCACTTTTTGCTTTGACTATTCTTTTGTAGAAAGTTGGTCCAGAATAAGAAGGATATATATTTTCCACAGCACATTAGTCATCATAAGTTAGTGGTCATACCAGACCAAGTACGGCTGTAGCAGCAAAACCCCTCAGTGTATTAAAATGAGTAAGAGTATGTGTTTTTTTCAACTTATGAATTCAAGATTTTATATGTAAGAGGAAGAATGTGTAATTTCCTGTATTTTTCCTATTCATTCCCTTTTTAAGTATTTTTGTTGCACATTCATTCATCATATTGTCATGATTGTTGTATTTGTTATTTGCACACCACACAATGTAATTATGGTCTACACTCAATAAAAATCTGAATCTGAAGGTCTTCAAACTTTGACACATAAAAGCAAGACTATAATGGCTTGATACCACTAGAGGTAAATGAGAAAATGTTTATTGCGATTTTGGTGAACTGACCCTTTAACAAGATACTCGTGAAAATCATAGCAAAGACCTCCCAACCCTGGAGGAAACTGTTTGCTGAGCAGCACTGTGCAGTCCACGTGTATCACAGTGATAATGGTGCAGCTTATGATCCACTGTTCCAGCAGCACTGGCACTGCACTGCGAGGCAGGGAAAGCCGGGCCGTCAGGGATTTGTCAGAGGCCTGTTATTACATCTCTAGTCACATAAAATATGGCTGCCTCTCCAGAGATCCAACTGCCAGATAAATCCACTCTCCTCCAACCAGACTGGCCCTGGCGATGAAACCATCCAATGGTGTACCTCAGCCAGTGACCTCTGGTAATGACGTGTGATTTATACAGTACATGTTTTAAACAGAGAGACACATCCGAGCCAGGCCCTCTCTCCCTCTCCGTATCTATATCTGGTGTCATGTGAGATAACAGGCAGGCCTTTGGGAGACGGGAGACATGACACCCATCTTTGGGGTCTCACAAAATGGCTACTATGTGGATAGTTTCCCCTGCAGCTGTCTAATCGCAGTGTAAGCCTGCAGTGAGCGCTGTCCTGCATGAGGTCACTAACACATATTGCAGGATGGCACTTTAAGCTAACAGACCGCAGTGTGGAAGGCCTAAATCAACACCTGGTTGGGAAGAGAAAAGAGCTGTTGTGCTCTGTAAATGCATGATGAATGTCCAACGAGTGACAGATCACAGGATACTGTCAATACATTAAACTAACTCCTCTGGATTACGGTCGACCAGAGATGTTTAGGGTTTATTACACACATAAATTGAATACCAATCTATCAAAACTGCAAAAACATCCACCACATCTTCCAAAGAAACCCAATATACCCAACTACATCCTCCTTCATATATGCATTCATTAGACAGATTAGATAGCAGAAATCATAAGTATATGAGTAAACAGTGTATCAGAGAGTCATTTTCCAGACAGTCAGTGATGTGGTGTGTACTGTCCCCTGCCAGGGAACGTCCCCTGCACAGTCTAGTAGCTTAAGAGATTAAGTTCTCTGGCTAAAGGAGAGCAGAGAGGCAGGCCGTGTCGTTGACCTTGGCAAGCCAGACACAGAGATGATGACACACCACTACAAATATCTGTCTTTAATAAACAGGCAGGCGCAGCACTGAACACCATGATCCTCCACAACTCGGCAGCGGCTGCAAACAGACTCATTTGATGTAAAGGGAAGAAACGTTGCCTTGAATTTTATAATGCCCCTGTGCACCATTTCACGTATTTTATAGTTTGGTTATTTAAAACTGATAAAGATTAATATAACAACATTTGCAATAATAATTTTCTTTTTTTTTTTATTTATTATTGAAATTTTGCATGAAAGCACTTTCTCAATTACCAACTGTGTTATAAATGTGTTAAGTGGCGAATGATGAAACATAATGGTTTTGTTAATATTCAGTGTTGATAGGCTACAATACTGAGGTCTATTGAATTCTCATTTACGTGTTTTTAAAATATTCTAACAAAAGCATTAATGAAACTCTAGTTTAAAATCACCAGCTGACAATATCAGGAAAAGTTAGGGGCCTGTCAAATGTTATTATATAATAATTATTATCATTAGTTTTTTAATCAGCCTCTCTGCTCATTTCTCCAACAGTGGCTCTGCAACTAGGGGTTTTTATTAAAGTAACAGTAGAGACATTTAGTGGGTGTTGGGAAGGTAAACAAAAAAATGTGAGAGAAACATGTAGCGGGTTGCATTTCAGCAATACATCAAATGAACACCTCTACTTCTGAAATCAGATCTTACCCCCCCACCAGCAGGAAACACAGACTGTGATAGCTTGAAACTGGCTGGCTGCTTTTTGCTTCCATAACATAACCTGATGAAGTTAAACTGGAGACAGAACCTCCCTCTCTCTCTCTCTCTCTCTCTCTCTCTCCCTCTCTCTTTCTCATTTTTTTAAAAAAACGAAAAATATACATTTAGTTAAAATGAAGTCATTCTGACTGTTTTTAATATTAAATATGATGGGGGAGAAGTTAATAGCAGACTGTCAAAATAAAATGTCTTTACATCACTTTTTCGTTAGTTTCTGTTCCCTGTTGTTTTCGATGCTGCCCTCATCACGATAATAAACTGAATCCTGTTTATAACGTATCGCTATATTACCTGATATCAACGTACAGGAACTGACTGGTAAAAAACAGTCATGTGATATTTTTAATAAAACATTTAGATCGGAAACACTGAAATAACTAATTGGCTAAATACAAATATTAAATTGTGGTCATGCATTTCTCTAATCATCATCATCATCATCATCATCATCATCATGTTTACACTGGCGCGTCCATTGGTGACGTGAAACTACAAACATTGCGATACTGACTTACAGCATCTTGATCCGACATTCATTATTAAGGTAAACAAATATACTGTGATATGTTTAAATAACAACGGCAGCATTAACAACGAACGACACCAAATAACAAATAATAATAATAATAATAATAGCCTTAAAATAATAATGATAATAATAATAATAATAATAATAATAATAATAATAATAATAATAATAATAATAATAATAATATACCATTGTAATAGGCTTATAATCATCAAAAGTTCACAATAAAATTACCGACAACTTTCCTAATAAAAAGATAAAATTGAAATTGAAATGGTATGAAATAAAAAACAATAATTTTCTCTCTTTGCATTAAAAAAAAGATTATTTTGTTGGGGAAAAACACACACAGGCAATGTTTCGTCTTGCTGCATAAATTCGTTTTCTTATGCAAATACCCTGTCGTCGATTTTTCAGAGCAGCACCAAAATAAACCCATCATGTCAAACCTGCTGGAGGACGCGGGGAAATTTGAGAGGAGATGAACTATTTCTCGGATGATATAAAAGGAGCCCTTTCGCCTGAGTTATGGCCCGGATTTGGCGTTGCTGAGAGGGATGCATGCTGCTCCTTCTCTCCCGCCCCAGAGGAGGTATCATCAGAGCTGATATATGGCCCAGCTCTACATTACCTTTATAAAACAAAGGATCATCCACGCTTTGGGTCGAGGGAAATATCCTTCTGACTATAGCTGCGACATCTAAACTAACGCCTGAGCCGACTTGTCTTTTTGACAACATCCAGATAATCCAAATAGTTTTAGATAAAAGATAGAAACTCCTGCTGCTGAACTGAAACTCTGAACTTTAACGCGTAAAAACGCTTAAATAGGCTACGCATTGTGATTTCTCTCCCCCTCATCTCCCTCTTTCTCTCTCTCTCTCTCTCCCTCTCTTTCTGCTTCCCCTCATTTACCCCATATAGCCTACCTATTCCGGTATCTCACCACACGACTAAATTAGACCAAAGATGATAAGAGCACAAAGCATTATAATTCCGCCGGGCTCCTCCTCCTTCCAGCCATGCGTCCTAATTAATGGGACACCCCCAGTCGCAAAAAGCCCTGCACTGGACTGCAACATAGTCAAAGAGTGAAAGGGAAGAGGGCGAAAGTGCCACTGGAGATAATTGATTACCTACCAATCAATGATAACTTGTTAGTAATCGTCAGCTCTTTGGACCTCGCCATTTTCAGGGAGGCATCTCACTCCTGCGGACTTGCTGCTCCCGAGGATCGACACTTTGAAGACACCCCATTTTGGAATAAGATTTTCTTTTCTTCTTTCTCCCCTCCGTATCTTTGCTTGGTTTTTTTTTTCTAACCCCCTTACTGTTATGTGACTTTTTCCCCTCGTTTTTAACCGCTGAATATTTCAACGAAGTCCTGTATAAACTCTGCGCACAACCAATGATGACATCCAAAGAGGTGGCCAAATGTGATGCAGTGGAAAACAGGAGGCGAAGTCCGCTGGACCACTTGCCGCCTCCTGCCAACTCCAACAAGCCGCTGACCCCCTTCAGCATCGAGGACATCCTCAACAAACCCTCTGTGAAACGAAGTTACACAATTTGCGGCACGGCTCATCTAATTTCGTCCTCTGAGAAGCACCGTCCGTCCAGCATCCCTCTGTCCAGCCGGGCTCTCCTCACCCAGACCTCCCCGCTCTGCGCGCTGGAGGAGCTGGCCAGCAAGACCTTCAAGGGGCTGGAAGTCAGCGTGTTACAGGCTGCGGAAGGTAAATCTCCATCCCCCAAAAAATGAATTAGAAATACGCCTTTTTAAAATGTTATCAACCCGTTGTATTTGTTTCCTCCCCTCTCTGTAATTTAAGGGCCTGAACCAGACAGAAATTTAGTTTGGTTACTCCTTGTATTTTGCACTCTGTGGGCTAATGGAATATATTCACTAAAGGTGCTTATTTAATAGCCAAAGATATTTTTTTCTTTTGTCTTCAGGAGTGCATATTTTTTTCATTTAGAAATGTCTTATCGAACAAAGGCGTAATATTCTGGGTTAATCTTCAACGAAATAAATCGCCACCGCTTTTCTTTAATTTCAGGGCCTCATGTGTGTGGTGCTCAATATTTCCCAGTGGTGTCTGTGTAATATTCTTGTAATCACCTGTTCCCATAAGAGATTAAAGCTTCCAGTGTTTCACAGATCACTTAGATGGTTATTTTTGGGTTAGGATCACTTTTACGCGCATTGTGCAGCGGTGCACCTGCATGAATCAGTGATTCTCACTCCTTCTCTCCCTCACAGGCCGGGACGGGATGACTCTGTTCGGCCAGAGAACCACCCCGAAGAAGCGTCGGAAGTCTCGGACGGCGTTCACCAATCACCAAATCTACGAGCTGGAGAAGCGCTTCCTGTACCAGAAGTACCTGTCCCCCGCAGACCGGGACCAGATCGCGCAGCAGCTGGGACTGACGAACGCGCAGGTCATCACGTGGTTTCAGAACCGGAGGGCCAAGCTAAAACGGGACCTGGAGGAGATGAAGGCCGACGTAGAGTCGGCCAAGGCCATAGGCCAGGTCCCCTTGGACAAGCTCGCCAAGCTGGCAGACCTGGAGAAATGCGCCAACGGCACACTGGGCCACCCGCGAGCCGAATCCCCCGCGCGGGGAGGCCAGCAGGAGCACGAGCTCGCTCAGAAACTGCGGACGTCGCCGCTGTCTCCGTTCTCAGACCACACAACTAGTAAAGAGTGCTCAGAGGACGAGGACGTGGAGATTGATGTGGATGACTGATGGCGCAGCGTGGGGCTGAGAAGTCGAGAACACAAAAGGACGATTTAAAAAACCCTCTCGAGGACTTGTAACTTACTGCTTATATTGTATACCATATCTCAGAACATGTACCAAAATGTAATGACTTTTATATCGGCACAGATAGACCTATTCATAGTGAAGCATGAACACAGAACAAGAAATATGCAGTGGTATTTTACAATGTATTCATTAGCAAACTGTTACTTCTTGCAATCAAAGCAATATGGTCTAAAATGACATGAGTAACTTATTATTTTTTTACACTATAGACCAACACGCGCGCGAGCGCGCGCGCGAACACACACACACACACACACACACACACAGACACACACACACACACACACACACACCTCCACACACACACCTGTTCCATTGCTTCTCCTAAAAGACCTATCCTCACACACACCACGATGAAAGTGCTCCAGTTTTCCATATTTTTGCATGTAAATGCATGATTTGATTTGTGATCATTATCTATTTATTTTTACTTTATTTTTATTTTTTTTTAATTTAAATGCTTTTGTGTTTTCTGTGAGCCAAGTCGCCATTGAGTCACTCTTGTCACTGCCGGCTCTGCTTCTCCTCCTCTTCTTCCTCCTCCTCCTCCTCCTCATCATCATCATCATCTGACTGTAACCCTTGACTTCAGCTCACACTCTTCGTCCCGATGCTGCAGTGCATGATGATGATGATCGGAAAAGGCAAACTGGGACATTCACAGCTCTGCGTTTTATGGGAATGCTCAAAGCGATGGCGAGAAACAACAATTACTATTGCGGTGATTTTGACAAGCTATAGGCTACTTTTTAGATTTATTGTTTGGATACAATAGATTTACAGTTATAAATTTGTTATGTTTTGTACACCTGTAAGTGCCTTTCTAAAATCAGGACATTATTTGAAAACCAATGCACAGACTGTAATGTATATAGGCTACTATGGGAATAAAATGGCTTTTCTGAATATTTCTTTTATGTTGCAATTCTTCAATTAATATGGAGGTTTTTTCATTGTGGATATAATAGCCTGGACTTTTCTTTATTATTGCGGACAAAAAATTATTTTGGAAACACGCTCTCCTTGCCAAATGTGGGCGGGTTAGCCCATCAAAAGCGGCCTGTTTAGAGTTATTATACTGAACTATTTTGTCCCTTTGTGTCCTTTTCTACTAGGATGCTCTAAACATTTTGTGGCCGGGAATCTCACGTCCCCTTTCACACCCTAAATGCGTATCATGGCTTCTTGACCCTTAGACGTGTTTCTCCATTCGTGGCAAAAATTTATGTGAGAAACACAAATCTGGTGCCGGGGGAAAAAAAGACGAGGATGCCACAAAAACACAAAGTTTTGGGCCAGTTTCTCCGGGCCTTTATAGACCTTTTTTGTTCTGCGGGACTGGGCCGTAATTTTGAGCGTAAAGCATGAAAAGTGGGGACAAATGAGCAGCGTTCCCTGATGGGACGAGCCACAAAGGAGCAGGGCCGGTCCCCCGCAGGCAGCAATACTGAGACAAGTGTGTCCCACCGCACAGAAAGGACGCAAACGTTTGGAGGCCATATGGTTTTTGAAATTTCCTCACAATTTCAGACAATTTGATGGATTGAGTTAACCCTCCATTTAAACAGTTTAACTGGGTGCGAACAAAGGCCATAATGCCTACATAGACTCTCCCTTCATGAGGGCATCTGCGGCTATTAATGTCTAGCCCTTTTCTTTGCCTGGCGTTTTGAACAAGTCAATGAATTACAATGAAACTGGCCCTTTTTGTGAGCCGCTTGTCTTTCTCCGCTTTTTAGCTGTGGAATAATATGTTTGACTTCTGTCCAAGAACGTTTCTAAACAAGAAATGGATTTTGTTGAAAGTGTTTTTAATGTTAAGTAGGGAGCCATAAAGAGTTTAGACTGTGACATTTATGCCAAAGTCTGGTTAGGGAGTCTTTTGTTTGTTTTCTTCTCATCTTTTTCTTCTTCTGCTGCCTCTTTATTTCTTTTGTCTTTAAAGAGTTTAATGAAGCTGAAAACATGGTGATGTGAGAGAGAGAGAGAGTGAACTCAAAAGGCTAGCTCCCGTTTAACCCTCTTTGTTAACAGAAATGATAAGTAGAGCTGTCTTCTTGTGAGGTGTTTTATAGTGTTTGCTTTTTTTGTTTTTGTTTTTTTTCTTACTGTTTTTTTTTTTAAATTCAGGATGACCTGAAAAAGTTTATAGTAATATAGTATATATAGACGAGGCCTATAGGAATATAGCTATTGAAAATTCCCTAGGCAAGAGGCAACAGTAGGCCATCTTTCTCCCTCTCTCTCTCTCTCTGTCTCTCTCTATATGCCTACAATACATAGAATTTAAAGTATATATCCTGATTTACTAAATAACATACTACATTGTAGTATACCTATTGAATACCTATTTATTAATGTATTTGTCAACAACTATAACTCCTCCTGTGGGCTCTTTAACAATAAATCAGTTGTAATAGTATAAATAATTTCATAGGAGAAGTTGATAATACAGATATATACTTTACACATTAGATACTTTAGTCCCTGTATCTGTTTACAATTACATTACATTAGGCTATAGTGTGTTTTAAACCACCTACTAAATGTTTTTATACTGCCTATAAATGCCAAATATTATACTTATTATGTTTAGTAAATCAAAGGTAAATCTGATGCTAAAGCTACCTGCAAAGAAAACAAAATATGATTCTGTGTATATTACGTATACTACACTGTGTGTGTGTGTGTGTGTGTGTGTGTGTGTGTGTGTGTGTGTGTGTGTGTGTGTGTGTGTTTGTGTGTGTTCTTCTGCAGCCTATTCTGAATCAAGCATATTTATGAAGGGAGAGAGTGTTAAGGCAGCCTAAGTTTATGGATTTCACTTGCTTATTTTATGAGGGCTTGTCAGGCGGGCCCGCTGATAAGTAATACTACAGTCTGAGGGACCACTTCGTGGTAATTAATCTGGAGGTCTTAAGTGTATTTCAGTATTTCACTTCAAGATGGAAAAAATCACTACTTCAATCGTCCGGAAAATTGAAGTTTGATGCATGAGTCCCTACTGAAACAATAGTACAGCCCTCGCTCTTTTCATCTCTTCCCCTCCCCTTTTTTATACTCTCTCTCTCTCTCTCTCCGTCTCTCTCTCTCTTTCCCTCTCTCTTTTATTATTTGCACCTTGTGGATAACAGTCTCAGGTGCAAAGTGTAAATTAATATTTGAGACACTGGTCGAGTGACAGCATTTAAGCACAACAATGAATTAATTAGTTTAATGTTTGCAGAAAATTTGAAAATAATGTATATCCATAGGCCTCAAACAGTCCCTCAATTTATTATCATCATTATTATTATCATTATCATTATTATTATTAATATTGAATAAGTATAAAGAGGACATCTGTAAATGACTTTATATTTGCCTGCATGGAGTTAAATCACTCTATATATCTAAATAGAGCTGAATTGTAGAGTTTTAATCATAGCCTTCCTGTGGAGCCAGTTAATACTTCAAACTTCAATTTTACGGGCGATTGAACTAAGCATGTTCCTGACAGAATTGATGTATGTATTAATTTCCTTTAACTGTTGATTAATTAGGCTGCGCTGAAGGCTCAAATGGAACGGTTTGTTCACAAATTTGCATATTAATCAAATTCTAGTTGATCATTCAAATAATCCAGGCTGTGTGATTTTTTGGCTCAAGCTTGAAAACATATACCAGGAAAATCAGTAAATACACACATGCATATTCTCAACTTCTGCTGCTGCGTGTCTTCCAGATTATCATCAAACACTGAGAAAGAGTCAGTCTGGCTGTTTGGACTAAAGTGCTTCCCTAGTCTTGTTCCATCAAATCCACTGATAGATTCACTGGATTAAAACCAAACAACAGCAAATCTATATGTGCCTGTGTGTCATGAATAAACAGAGAGAGAGAAAGAGAGGAGAAACAGATGCAGATTGGCTAATGTGTTTTGAACATTTTTGTTCTGTTTAGTAGAAAAAAAAGGCTAAACATTTTCACAGACTGCCACCTAGTTGATGTGGAAGTTAATCTGCCGCAGTGATACAGTCTCTGTGGCAGCAGCAGGCTTCAGATCACAGGTGGCTGGAGTTTGTGGGATGTTAAATATTACTGAGAGGCAGCAGAACGATAAAAAGAGCGGTTTTATAAATGTTGAAACAGCTTCCAACTGACACTGTGAGATGTCAGAAAGGCTACAGAAAACAATCTGCAGGTAGATTTAATATCAACCATGCAGCTCATTCTGTCTAAAATTAAATATCTAATGAGTTACTATATGATTCTTGTAATTTGTTGAATAGCTGGTTCATGATAAGCAGGCTTCCTTTGCTGGTCTGACACTGGTTTAAGTCTAAAATGAACATGGTCAAAACTGCACCAGCATTTTGAGCTTCATATGATTATGACCTCAGGTGGTAAAGTTCCTATATAAATAAAAGAGAACTTGATTTCATAGAGCAAAACACTTATAATTAGCAGATAAATGAATAAATAAAGTGAAATGAACATAAGGTGTCCCTGATGTTAGTGGAAGCCATCAGAAAGCACATCCATATCTGACTTATTCATCCTTTAAATCAGGTGTCAGACCAAAACATGCTGGTTGTGAAAAACTGTCAATGTTCAGGCTGTGAAATGAAATGAAAAACAGGAGGGAAGTGGGGGGAAAAAACAAGGAAGTGCAGATGTTGACAATAGCTGCAAACTCCAGTCAGCTGCTTGGCCACTGAGGAGAGAGGCAAACAGAGACACCTGCTGGTGTTTACTTGACAGTGAACTCCACTGCACTGAACAGTTAATCAGCCATGGTATATGTGTGCGTGTGTCAATGAAATATTTTACTTAATATTTCGTTTTGTAAAACACATTTTGCATTGCATTATCATAATTGGTCTGATTAGGCAAGTTGTGCAAGATTTACTGTGTCTTAATGTAAGGAAATGTTTGTATGAAGACCCCCTCCTCTCTCTCTCTCTCATTAAAAATGTCTTATCAGACCTATTTGAGAGCCAGTAATAGCATACCATATGCAGAGTAATCACAGTCCTCTGGTGCTGCATTACTGTCCAGCATATTTTGACCTAAAATGACACCTCCTGCACTCTCGCTACCAGACCCTCACTACATGCTCCTCTACTGAAGAACACTCACACTGTTTTACAGGCTGGTGGGATTAACAAATGAGAGACTGAAAGATAATATTAACAGCATATTTCACATATATTCACATTGCTTTATGTGTAGTAGCCTATCTCATAGAGTTGGATAACATACCGACAGTGCAGGCTATTGATCTTTTACTTAGCCAGAAAAAGAAAGATTTCTCCATTAAAACCTTACTTACCTGCAAAATGGCCACTTTCAAAGTCTATTGGATTATTATTGCCAATACAAAAGCATTTCCTTGTTATAGTTGGGTGGGAATGAGCTCACTTTAACTTTGGTTCTTTATATGTTGGCTAGTTAACTCTATAACAATGTATTGTGTTTCATAAGATGATCATTAGTTTGCGCTTAAGTCTTATAAGTCTTGATCTTAAAATAACTAGAGAGCTTTCAAATAAATGTAGTGGGGATGAACACAAGGTTTCTGCATCTCTGTAAGGATGATGTGTGTGTATTTACAGGCAACTGAGGGACAGATTGACAGTATGGACAGTTTTGTATTGACTTACTCATTTACCCCGGAAATAATAGTATTGGTGGCAACCTAATGTACAGAGCATCGGGGTTTCTGCCCTAAAATGTGTAAAGCACACGTATAAACACCATTTTCCGTACTTGCCCAGTCCTGCGCAACTTCACCGCAGCATTAACGCGCCTCAGCACTCCACGCTGTCGCAGGCAACACGTCATCAAAGTTGGCGGTATTTTGAAAAGGAGGCGTCTGTTGTTGTGGTCCGCTTAGTGAAGAAGAAAATACAAATTATGGTAAGACTACACGTCTGTGACTAATTCTTGTGGTTCAGATACATACATAATAACGTAGAGTGCGATATTTCTATATGTATTACAGAGAATATCTGCTAACGTGAACTTAGACATTTTCATTTCTCCACGGTGAGCCATAAGTAGGCAACGAACAACTAACTAGACCTAATCTAGCCGCTGTGCCAAATTTGCCGGTGCTTTACTCAGTAAATAATTACAAAAAACACTTACCCAAATCCAAATCTAGAGTTTTTGACTTTTTGTGTTTCCGTGTCGAGGCCGAGGTGAAGCCAGGCGGCCAGCCAGCAGCAGAGCTGTCGGAGGCTGCGCAGTCTGAGCTGCTGGACCTGTGTGAGGATCAGTTTGCTCAGCTGGAAAAGGTAACCTCACTTTTTAACCTTAAGATCCAGACTGTGCAGGCTGTCCTTTAATCAATCATTGGATGCGCATGAAAGGTATTAACTGCAGACTGTGCGTCTCTGTGTTGCAGCTTCAGAATGAGATCATACTGTGTGAACCAGATTTATGTGAGAATCCACAGGAGCAGGTGAGATGATTGTGCATGTTCATTTATAAAATTTTCAGTGTCTCTGCAGTATCCTCCCGATGTCACAGATAAAACATGGAAAAACTTGTCTCAAAAAAATTTAAATTTTTCAGTTTACACTTGCTAATAATTTTCTTGATTAATCATATGGTCTATATATACTATACTGTCATATACAATGAAGTTGGAAGCTGGAATGTTTGACAAATGATTAATCAGTTATCGCATAGTTGCCAATTAATTTCCTATCAGTTGACTAGTTGATTAATCACTTCAACATTTCAGCTTTATTCATGAGATATAATTTTAAAACATGACATTTGAATAAATGGCCAAGACAACACTTGTTGGTTCCAAAGATGTTAATATAGGGGCCGACAGGAGGTGGAGCAGATCGTCCACTAACTAATCACCTGTCATGGTAAATGTGTTGTGTGTTTTTTACAATGTGAATATTCATCTCCAACAGTCAGTAAATCGACTGATGGCAACAGACGCTGAACTGAAGCAGTGGCTGACAGTGGAGCCGAAATGTAAGTCCTCCATAAACACTGTGATGGAAACTGTGACCATAATCTAATATAAGTGTTTGCAACTGAATTATGAATATCACAAATCAGCACCACAGTTTTATTCCAGTTAAACTGGTCCATCAAACATTACTGTTTAATCACGATTTCATTTCAGATTTTGTGTCTTTATCAGATTGTGATTCTCTGCTTTCAAATCAGTTTGAAATTGTAATTGTTATATCTGCTGTATCCAGTGTTATCTATGACAAAATTTGCATTCTTAAAATGTATTAACTTATTTTGCATCATTCAGTGCTGGCAGCAAATTCTGAAGTTTTACTTCAAGCTGGAAAAGAGGAGGTATGTTTATATGTAAATTGCAACACTGAGTATAATATGTCTCACTAAAATGCCAAATAAAAATGCATTGCTCGAGTTATGCAATGCATTTCTCTAACTTTGTTTTCCACAGATGCTCAAGCTGTGCTCTGAACTTGAGATGGTTCTTTCTTGCTATGAAGCAAAGAGAGACAAACTGAGAGAAACTAAAGAACTGTACGTAACCTTTAAGTTATACTGCAGCCTTTCCATAACTTACTGTCCTGCCTCAGAGCACAAATGCTTTTCAGAGGTGAATGAAGAGACCTTTCAGAAGCTTTTCATTTATTTTGCTCTGTGTATTGCTCTGTTTCATGTTTGTGTTTTTTAGTGAACAGAAGTGGCTGGAGGAGAAGAAACAGGTGCTGATAGCTGCCACTGATCACGCTGAAAGACTTCAAATGGAAAAGGAGAAATTATCAGAACACAGGTGAGTGTGACGGCAAAGTTGCAGTAAACCACACGAGTCCAAGTTATGAGGTATTTCTCCTCCGGAGAAGCATGTGAAGAGCAACATAGGTGTGGAAAGAGGAAAAATAATGCAAATTAATAATGCAAAAAAAAAAATGAAATTCTGAATTGTGTGTGTGTGTGTGTGTGTGTGTGTGTGTGTGTGTGTGTGTGTGGGTGTGTGTGTGTGTGTGTGTGTGTGTGTGTGTGTGTGTGTGTGTGTGTACATGCATTTCACAGTGTACTGCAGGACACTAAGGCCAAAATCCGGAAAATGAAGGTCTACCAGGAGAATTTGATGGAGTCTCTGGGGGACGTCCTGGAGAAGCATGTTCCTCTCCCTCAGAATGAATCCAGTACAAACAGGAAGAAGAAGGTTCAGTGACCTGTGTTGTGTTTGTTGGTTGTGCTTTTGCAGCCTCTTTACATGTGAAACCTGTGCTGTCACTACTTCAGTGTTGTTTACCCACATTTGTTTTCATTTTCAGAACATTGAACTAGGGTTAAATGAAGACTTGATTTCTCTCAATGAAATTCTGGAGGTGAGTTTTCATGCACTACATAATCAGAATTGATGTCAAATTAATTCTCTTTGTTTAACTGACACCATCCAATATTTAATTTTGTTAATCCTAATAGGGACTAGCTGTCTGTCAGTAAGGTTTTATTTTGATAAGGGATTCTAACAAGACATTTTCAGAGCTATTTTTAACAGTAAAACAGAACTTTTGCACAAGTGCAAATTTAATGCTCACCCTAAAACCTCAAAGATGTTTGTTATTCTGTCAGGATAAAAGTGGGTGGTCAAAGGTCCACTTCACCCAAATCAAGTAAGACCTGGTGGATTCCCAGTTGTGCAGCTAGTTTAAATTTTCTTCTTCTTTTTTTTTAATTATTATTATTATTCTTACTTCTCACAGTATAATTGAGATAAATGAGATGGGTTATGTTTGTTGTGTTCAAAAAATTAAACAATGAAGTTTGAAAAAATCAATAGCAAAGTGTGTTTCCATGAGTTCACTGCAGACAGTTTTGTGTTTTATTTTTTTTAAGCTTCATTAGTAGGATTTCCAACAACATCTACATTTAGACAGCTTATATCAACAGATTTGAAAGTGTCATGGTAAAGGTATCTTGGCCAAATTATCCTGGAATATAACATAAACTCAGTTATTATAACTTCAATAAGATAAAACTCTTTACTTAGTTTTAAAACATCCTTTTAAGGCTAAACTTCATATTGACATATTATAGCAGAAAAGCATGGGTGTAATTAATAACGAATAACAGTTGCATACCTTTTTCATGTCGGCCAGTTCCATTGCACTGTGCTTTGTGGTCACTGGTAACAGAACCATCATTAATGTTATGAATTGCACCTGTGATTTTCCTGTTATAACAAGTCAAAATGCAGATTGTGAAAAACTGCCGTCCAGTCCACAGGGATGTTGTGACGGAGAAGCTCCCGTGTTGCGGTTGGCTGGTATGGAAATGACTAAGACTATACTATAACTGTTTGTTTACTATAAAGATATATAGTTATCATCCCAGCTCCCCCTGTCTCACTGAGCTGCAGGACTACAGACGGTCACATTTTGCTTGAGAATGATAACGGGTTAGCGGTGTCAGCACCAACAAAACCGACTCTCTGCACTGCCTAGTCCAGTCATGTATGTATGTCCTAGTTTATTCTCAGCCACAAATGTTGTAGTGTCCTTCTGACAACAGCATATACCATGTAAACATAAATATCGTGGGAGGCAGCACCTTGCACTGTTACTGCAGATGTGTTTGACTCCAGTCTGCCTCTGTCTTCTGCACCCCTTCAGGTGCTCATGAACAAGGTCCTAAACACACCACACGACCCCTATGTGATGATTGATGACACATTCTGGCCACCGTACATAGAGATGCTTCTCCGCTACGGGATTGCAGTGAGGCACCAAGAGAATAACTTCAAGATCCGCCTGGAAACCTTTTTTTAAGGCACTGGTGCGTTTGCCATCTCAAGCACCACTTATCTACCAGTGTTTCTAATTCGAGTCTCCTTGTACAGTGCTATCATTATGTATATTTGTGTGAGCTGATATGAAGACTGTGCTGGGAAATCAACGAGGCTAGTGATTTACCGAATGTACAGTATATGTCTATGGTGGAGTCCATTACAAAATGAGTTTTTTATATGTTGTCCATTTAGGCTTCACACAAGTATTTTTTAGGTTAAGTACAGAGTAAACCATGAGTCATTATAAAAGCTCTAACATCATCTGAATTTAAGTTATGAAAATATTCAAATGCATTAGAAATACATTTTGACACTTGATCCTTTTATCATTTAAGATTATTTTGTACTTCATGTAAACTCAAGATTAATACTCAGTCCGACTGAAAGTCTTCTCTTGACTACATATTTCTTTGATCCTATTTTCATAGCTGTTTTCATTTGCCAAGTATAATCAGCAGTGAGTAATGCACACTCAGTTGTCCATTTTAGGAACTCTTAGCTAAAACTAATGCAGGGTAATGCATCAGTCCTTCATGAATGTTATAATATTCAATTTTTATTGAAACTGTTGAAGTGGTGTTGATTCACTTGTATGATCATTGTGGAGGCTGCAGTTTGTGGTGCTGTCGAACTGTATTGCATCATACAGAGAGGTGTCTCTGTTGTTTAGCCTGCCCTCATTGATATAAATGGGACGGACAAAATAATAGAAATACCTGTCAACATAACACAATATAATTCAACTGCACCACAGACTACGTCCTCCAAAATAATCACACAGTTGAATCAATGCCTCTTTAACACTGAATCAATAAAAACCGAACATTATAACCTTCATGAAAGGAGGATTAATCGCAGGACTGTTGTATTAGAATGCATTAGTTTCAGCTAGGTGTTCCTAAACTTGACAACTGAGTGTATGTTAGAATTTATTGGGGTTCTTTAAATTGTTCTTAGATTCAGTTTTATTTAAAGTTTGTTAAGAGTTTATTTTCTGAGGCCTTCAGATACCTGTGTACATGTATATATGTACATTTCATTAATTTGTTTGTATATATTTTCTTGTTCATGTTCAATAAACTTGGGAACTGCAGCTGTGGTGATGTTATGTTTTGTTCAGGTTAGAAAAAAAACAATGATCATCTTCTCATTATTGATATAGGCAAACAATAGGCATCTTTTCAAAGGGAAGTGGGGATAAACTTTGAGTGCAGATGATGAATTTCTGATGAAAATGTAAAACTTAATTTATAGGAAATTTTGTGCGTCACACGACGTCAGGACTGTCGTCCAATCTGCTGTGGCCGCCGCGTCAGCTCTAGAATTCCTGTGGGCGGAGAAGGGATTCCGGTTCCGGGTGTTTTCATATCCCACTCGGAGGTGTTCATCCCTCTGATTATGGTCTTTTACCAGAAACATATTTCGATTGACGACTGATTAAAGTAGAGTTCTTTCAATTAAGAAAGTCCAACTAAAGCCGCGAATATGACGACTCGCTCGGAGAGAGAGAAGGCCCAGAAACTGAACGAGCAGCACCAGGCCATCCTGTCCAAAATGCTGAGAGAGGAAGACAACAAGTACTGCGCTGACTGCGAGGCGAAAGGTGCGACGTTCACTCTGTCGAAAATTTTCCTTTTTACCACACGAAGTTCACATTTTCACTGAGAATCCGCCGCTAACGCCTAGCAACAAGATAGCATTTGCGTTAGTTAGCTTAGCTAAGCTAACTCTCTAGTGTGTATCTGGCTTAGGCTAGTCAGCTGACATCTCTACCCCTGAAGCTAAACTAAATGGCTAACTAGCAAGCTAACTTCTCTAAATCAACATAAGCTCTTCTCAGTGCCTCTCCCTCACCGCCGCCTTCAGCTCAGTCCTCGGGCGTTACAAGCGTTTATCAAACTGTGGCAGCTTCTGTAGATAAATCGTACTCTTATTTTTGTTAGGTCATTGATAAAGAATGCAGAGCCTGTTCTTGGCACTTAAAGTCACTACAAGATCATGCATGTTTACGTTTTTCTCAAGGCATCTCTCAATTGTCTTTAGTTGTTTGGTTTCTTTGGATTAGTTCTTTTGGCTCATTTGGTTTTTTTGCTTTATCAGGTCCAAGATGGGCATCCTGGAATCTGGGAGTATTTATCTGCATCCGATGTGCAGGCATCCACAGGAACCTGGGAGTACACATATCCAGAGTGAAATCAGTCAACCTGGACCAATGGACCTCAGACCAAATCCAGGTACTGTTTATATACTTAGGTTCACTTATAGAAGATGTCTGTTTATCTTTTGATGCCCAGCTTTCCACAATCAGAATTAATAGAAGTAATTTTGGTGAGAGATTATTGTGAAATATATGTTATAAAAGACACACAACAAAACTGATTTCAGCATCCTTTTACTTTTGTATATCTGTCCTCTGTTAACAGCCAATCTTTCCTTTTCAATGCCAAAAAGCTGTGACAATACCACAAGTGTTATTGCCAGTAATTTAGCACTGCCCCTCAATAAAGGTGGTGGACTTGCATATTTATAATAATATGGTTAAATTCTGTGCAGCAGTGGCTGACACAATCTACCTTTTACTCCTTAGTGTGGATCATTCTGTAAAAATATTGTACCCTACATTTTCCATAGTGCAACTTGATATCCTGTCAGGCTGCTGCATCATGTCATTTTGAAGTTAACATTATTACCACCCACCTCTTACAAACACCATGCACCAGTTTGCAACACAGACTTTCTATTAAAGGCCCTTAACCCAAGATATAAAAACCCTGATAACATCATCAGACTTTTTTTCCTCATACGTCAGAAACCTCCAGTAGAGCCACAGAAGACACTATACCACTGTTTTCACTGGCTTAGTAGTAGAGTTGATGATGAGCAAACTAACCATCATTAGTTCATTAATACAATTGAATGCCCCTTTATATATTTCAGTTTCTGTCTTCTAACGAACCCTCTGTCTTCCCTGTTTTCAGAGTATACAGGAAATGGGTAACACCAAGGCCAGGCAGCTTTATGAGGCCAACCTTCCAGATAGCTTCAGAAGACCTCAAACAGACCAGTATCCTTCACTCTAAGCAGATTAAACGTGACATGCTGTGGAAAGTTATTCATTTCGGTTTACAAAGTTGCTTCTTTTTCCCTTAACCCTGACCTCAGAGCAGTGGAATTCTTCATCAGGGATAAATATGAGAAGAAGAAATACTACAGCAAGAATGTGACCAATGGGAGCAGTGTATGTATTAACCAGAACATTACCATTTTAATATAAAGTGGATCCAACTGTCCATCATTGTTTTTTCAACTTACGCCTGTGGTTCAGTTGTGAGTTTCCTTTTGTGTTTTCAGCCAAAAGATATTAAGAAAGAGAGGGAGCCAGACAGAGGGAGCAAGGTGTCACCCTACACCAAGGTATCACACGTATATTCCTTCATGAATATAAACAGGCTTCTCGACATTGTTTTTGACCTATACTTAGTTTGTTGTGCTCGTTTTGATTTGCTTCTTCCAACTACTTTTTTTTTAAAGAGTGAAGAGTCCAGGCCAGTTCCCAAAATCAGTCCCTCTAAGACTTCAGAACCCTCTGTGAACCTACTAGGCCTTGGTGAGTGTCTTTTACCTGAAAATAAAAATAGTCTGAAATGGGCCGTGCAAACTGAGATATTGTTTATGGAATCAGGCTGAACATGGTTTCACCTTGCACTTGTTTTCTGTTTATTGCCAGTTCTGTAGCTCTAATAAGTGGTTGGATGACTATAAACTTGATGAGCTGGTAGTTTTACTTTTATGGACTCAGAGCATCATGTAATTCTTGAATACTGATATTCACAAGGATGTTTGTGTGTGTATGTGTGTGTGGCATTCAGGAACCACAGTGTGTTTTATCGTATATATGATTGGTGCAGGTTGCCTTTACCGCTGGCTTGGTGTAGCATGATGGTGCTGTGGTGTGTTGTGCCTCAGATACTGTGCCCTCCCAGCAGAGGAGAACTGCACTGAGTGGTGATATTGTGGTTCAGGATGCAATCGGGGCTAAATCATGACTGTCTCCATCTTCAGCTTGTGTTGTCACTGTTGGCTTCATGTGTACTAATCAGGCAGTGGGCGTTACAGAAAGTAACACCTTTTAATGGCTGGCTGCTGTTCCTCTTTCACTTCAGTTCCTGGCAGCTCTGTAACACAGGAGTCACTGTGACTGTACTTTCCCTTTCGGCTAAAAGGCAGCACCCTCACTGATCTTGGATCTGCTTTGCTGTCTGTTGAGCTGTAATGGAGTCTGTTGTTCTCTTAAGTTGTTGTTAATGCAAACTATAAAACTCCTCCTGCTGCTTTATGTTAAAAACTTTGTACCAGTAAATTACTGCAAGCCCTTTTTTTGTGAGTTAGCCAGAGGAAGTGCTACAGCTGCTGACTCACCCACCATTAGCAACCGCGTAGTAACTTCTTTTTTTATTTCAAAAGTTCATGTACATATAGATTTGACCTTTTTTTGTGCCTTTTTTGGGAGGATAAGTGTTAGATATTACACAAAAAACAGGACAAATTTTAAAAATAATATCCAGTGATGGCACAGCACAGGCATCTCAACCATCAGGAAAAGTGGCGAGTGAGTCTTGTTGTAGACATTGGGGTTATTTTGGTTTTCAAGTATAGGTTTGCTCATGGATCCATTGCTGGATTACTTACAGTAAGTCTCGCAGTGTACAAGTGGCAGTTACGTGGATATTTCCGTCTTGACGCAGAGGCAGTTGTGCTTCAGTTAAAATTTGTTGTTTTTCATAATCAGATGTTCGGGTAGAAATACAGGTTATTGTTTATCTGTTCATTTGTGTACTTGTGCGTCTGTCTTTTCGGTGCAACAGCTCAGGCATTAGTAATTGAATGATGATACTTCATTATAGCAATTTCATTTACAGTTTAAAGAAGATGACATACTCATGTTACTGAGTGGCTTGGAGGGGTATTGCGTTATTTGGATGGAATGTTTACTGTTATGTTTGTTTTGTGGCCAATGAGCTACTAAGGGGTAAGCTGATTAATTTTTTTTATTGTAGTAACCACTATCCTCACTGTGTGGGCAGTTCTGCAGCTGTGGGAGGGCAATGCAGTTAAATAAATACAAAGACAACACATATTCCACATTAGCAAAAAAAAGGTTTGTTGGTTTCAACCCATATTTCACAACAGTTAGAGGTTGTATCATGATTTTATTTATGACTTTTCATAAGCTCTTAGTAGATGCAGGTTGAATATTGTTGGGAAATCATCGGTGAGCTATGCTGAAGTCTGTTAAAGTGGTCTCAGGGTGTTGTTTTTCCTAGTGGTGTACACTTATTTTCCACCTGTAAAACCAGTTTTTTCACCTTCCTGTCACAGACACACCAGCAGCTGCATCAGCTAACAATGGTAGCACGAGCACAAGCCAGAACAACAACGACCTGGATATATTCGGCCCCATGGTATCCAACCCCCTCCCTGCATCAACGTCCGCAGCTCAGTTTTCTCAGGTAAAACCAAGCAAGAATTCCCCAGTCCTGATTTAGTACTAATTTCTCAATATTGCTCAACAGGGCTAAACAGTAATGGTTGTCTAGTTGTAAAACAGAAATTAAGTGTGCTGTAAAAAATAAAAAGTCAAATGATTACCATCGGCATCAATGGGCCACCAGACAGCAGTACCAATACTCAGAGTCAGTGAACTCAAATGAAAGAGAGGCAGAAACACGCTTCCGAAGATGAA